AAGTTAAAAGGTTTTGTGAGATCGGATATAAAAGTCCACTGTTCTTAAAATGCTACGGAATATCAAGAGACGATTCAGGTGATTATATTCCTATTTTGAAACATGCAAAAAAGGGATCTTTAATAATAATCTTCACGAAGTATTGTAAATGAAAAGCAATTCATTCGCAAGGAGTAGAACATCGAGATCTTCATAGTGGAAATATTCTGCAAGACAAGTTGGATAACGCATATATTACAGATCTGGGATTCCCTAATACAAAAGAAGTGTGTGGAGTTTTTCCTTACACGCACTAAAGATCTTACAAGGAAAACTATATACTCAAACAGTTAATATTTGTGCTTTGGGTATCATTATGACGAAAATATCAACCAGAAGAAAAGCCTTCGATGGTTATAATTTCGATAATGAACTTGCTATAAATTTGCCGAGAATTACGACCAGAATTTATATCTAGATGCATAGAATCAAGCCCGAAAAGACGACTTAATATTCGATATGTTAACGCTTTGATTACTACTTGAATTGAATAAATAAAAGCGCTGATGACGAAAATAAAATTAAAAAAAAAGAAGTTAATATAAAATAGAACGCCAATGGCGTCCCGAGTCAATTATGCCGAAGAAGAAAAAAAAAAGTTAATAAAATTAAATCTAACAGTGAATCACGAAAACTCCGAAATCGTATCGAGATATACGAGAAATATCAAACAGATTACCTGAACCGTATGAAATTCCTGACGATTTATAAAAGGTATATAGTAAAGCAGTAGGTAAGTTATTGTAAAGTTAGTAAGAATTTCAAAAAAAAATTTGATTTCACCATATTCCAGTGATAAAATAAAAATTTTTTAAGCAAAGGAAAGGAAATTTTCTATAAACCATGTTCACTTTAACACGAAAAAGGATCAATTCTAGCATTTTCCTCCAATTCTAACCATCAAAAAGGTTCACTTAAATTGAGTCTTATAAACTATGTATAATACCGAAAATTATTTTCGCATTTCGTTCAGTACGTAATAATTTATGCACGCAATTTAAATAAACTCTCAACACTAAAAGTTAATAAAGGTTATTTTTTATAATGTCATTTAGATCATAAATACTGAGGACATCTTTTAAATCACTTCATTTTGTTCGTTAACATCCATCCCAATCGGTAAAAATTTATTAATCGTAAATATTACAAATTAAATACTGTATCGGTTGTATCGGTATACATTTTTGTTTACAAATAAAAAATAAAAAAAATGAAAGAAAAAAATATCTATTTTTACACTGGCCGTGTAAAACACACCCATCTTTACGTGATAAGGACTATTCCGTTATTATTATAACCATAGTTATTAAATCGACAGTTCAAATTCTCACTTCATTGAAAATATAAATATGCATGCAGACAGGCGTAGAAATTTTTTAATTTTGTATTTTTTTTGATAGACAATATGAGTTCAACCAATAAACTAATCAAAAAAGTAACAATTAATATAACTTTTGTATCACTTTGACTAAACAATAAATGACCTCCGCTACGCCTCAGACAATTAAAGATTGAACCTTATCTTGTGCAAGATTTTTTTTTTTTCACCTTTAAAAAAATATATATATATAAAAATGGATTCTAAACAATTTCATACACTTGGTTACGAATATCGACATGGTATTGGTGTTAAGAAAGATGAAGAGAAGGCCTTTGAATATTTTATGAAAGCAGCAGAGTTAGGAAATTCGGCTGCGATATATGACGCTGGCAAATGTTATGATAATGGAGTTGGGGTAAAAAAAAATTATCAAAAAGCATTTGAATATTATATGAAAGCTGCTGAGTTAGGAAATTCGGCTGCGATGTATGAAGTTGGTGTTTGTTATGAAGAAGGAATTAGAGTAAAAAAAAATTACCAGAAAGCATTTGAATATTATAAGAGATCTGCTGATTTGGATAATGCTGATGCAATATGTAATGTTGGTTATTTTTATGAAAATGGAAACGGGGTTGATCAAGATTACAATAAAGCATTTGAATATTATGAAAAATCTGCAAATATGGGTAATAATGCAGCAATGAGTAATGTTGCTCGATTTTATCGAAATGGTATCGGTACAAAGAGAGATATTCAGAAAGCAAATTGTTGGTTCAGAAAATATAGAAATATTTTGAAAACTAATAAATCACCAGATAATATCAATCCTGAGCTTAAGAGAATATTAGACGATGAAAGATTTAAATTATCTTGGATTGATTATAATGAGTTCAGAAATATTATGGAAATGGGAAAAGGAGGGTTTGCAACAGTATATTATGCACGTTGGTTTGATAGAATTAATGAAACATGGAATAATTCTGCACTTAAAGTAATTCGTGATTCAAACAAAAATATTCAAGAATTTATCCAAGAATTGAAGAACTATTGTGATATCGGTTACGAAAATCCTTCGTTCTTGAACTGTGATGGAGTGTCAAGAAATGAATATGGTGATTATATTATTGTTATGGATTATGCATCAAAAGGATCTTTACGACAAAATCTTGTACAAGTATCACAATTGGAATGGAAATATAAATTGAGTATCTTATACTATATATCTTTGGATCTCGAATCGATTCATTCGCAGAAACTCGTTCACAGAGATTTACACAGCGGAAATATTTTGCAAAGAGGAGGTAATTTACATAACGCATATATTACTGATCTTGGACTTTCTAAAAAAGTAAAGGATGGAAAAGTTTGTGGAATTCTGCCGTATATAGCACCTGAGGTTTTAGTGGGTCAACTGTATACTCAAGCATCAGATATTTACAGTTTTGGAGTTATTGCGACGGAGATTTCGACCGGACAAAGAGCGTTTGACGGAATTCCGTTTAATGGTGATCTTGTATCAAAAATTATCGTAGGAACAAGATCTAAATGTTTAGGACCAGATTGCTATATTAAATTGGCTATGGATTGTATGGATAAAGATATTGATAAACGACCTACTGTAACTGAAATTATTGAAATAATTACACGTTGGTTAGATGAAATGAATAAGGAAGATGATAATGAAATTAAAAAACAATTTTTGGATGCTAATAAAATTAGACCAGAACCTATTAGACAAATACATTCCCGAGACGTGTATACTAGTAAGCTATATGATACGAAAAAATTTTCTGAATATATTACTAAACCGATCAGTCAGTAAAAATATCAAGCAAATTCTCATTTATATTTACAGTAAGTTAAATGATATAGATATGTTTATGTATTATGTACTTAGAAAGTGTTTTTTTTCTTAGTTATCAAGATGTTTTATAATTTCTAGTCCCATTATATTGCAGAGATAAATATTTTCTTACATAATCTATGAATTTTAGATTATTCTTATCGGTTGTGTTTTGTTTTTTGAAAGTACGAAATCTTTAAAATCAATTTTATTTTTTTAAAAATTTCTGTCTTTAGCATCCTTTGAAATCTTTTTATATGCATTTAGCTTATATAAATTTGAATCTAAAAAATAATTAATAATGCCAATAAATTTTCGTAAGAACGCTGTTTTAATATCTAAATTAAATATAATATCTACATATTTAATTATAGACTAAAGGCAATTTAAAATGTCCATTTTTTTCAATATTAGCATTCGAATCCACCCTTAACAGTACCAACGATACTAACCGATCTTAAAACACCAGAGTATTTCAAAAAAACGGCAAAAGTACATTTTCTAGGTTTTTCGTTGGCGAAAATCGATATACTGTATTTAAGTAGTTACAGTATGTAATACTAATTTTTGATTTTCTAATCGGTATCCCAATTTCTGAAGTTAAGGTGCATCTTTATGCGTCATTTTTTAAAAAATTTGTTGGTTATAAATTGACATGCATTATTTTTCGATTTTCCCAGAATGAAATAACTCGGATCAAATTTCTATGTAAAATTCATATCGTAAGTTTATAAATTTGGTTGCCAAATCCAAATATTTAGTCCCCAAATTTTGTTAAATACAAAAAATTTTATTGAACTTCTAACTTATCTATACTGATAACGCGTCTAACCCGTCCGTCTTCCCCACTCTCTGACAACGCGTTGTGTCGATCACAAATTTGTGATTCTCAATCGACAGCGTTATTTCCACCGATTGAAAAATAACTTAGGAATTCGATTAGTTAATAAATTTATTATACTACGATGACTAGTAATTAATGAATTCAGTAACGACAACGTGACTTCATATTGATATAAATAATCCAACATCTAAATTTATAAAATAAGTAATTTTCATTTTTTAAAAAAAACAACTTTTTCTTCAACGATAAGGCCATACGAATTTAATTACTTGGTTTTTCATAACATGAAACTTTTAAATAGACCTGACCGGTCGGCTTTTTATTAAAAAAATTTCATAAGTAAAGTTTCATAATATTTATATAAAAAATTTTCTAAAACCCACCCGTTCTTAAAAATTGACCGACTGATTGTTTGGCTGATTCGATAACGATTACGTAATAATGTGCGAACAAGCTTAGTTGTTAAATCAACCATCTCAATATTTTCATTTGTTTTATATTTTATAATTTCATAATAATAATAATAATAATAGCTTATTATTAATAGAAATTAATTGCAGAGGTATAACAAAGAGAGAAAGTTAAGAAAGGAAGCGGCGAATAATGAAAAATTGAAGGAGAACGCAAGGCTAGAAGATCAACTAAGGGGCATGCAAAAAGAATATAATGAAATTTCTAGATATGAAAAAAGCCAATCAAGAGAAAGGCAACGTAATAATAAATAAACAAAAATAAAAAAACAGTTTTTTTCAATGTAAAAATTTAACACATAACATCGATAGTAGAGAAAAAAATAAGTGTTCGATAAGTGCATTTTTTGTATTGATAATTCGTAGAACTAATACGTGATGCTAACCATGGTTACACAAAAAGAAAGTCGAACAAGGGAGAAAATATACTTCGAGGTAACAGTATTAACAAAATTAGAAACTCCTGAGAAAATCAATATGAATTTATGGAAGTTGTTCCAACCAGGCATTATTCCAGATTTCTGGCAAATCCTTATCAACGACAGAATCAGATGATTGATTTATTAAAGATTCAAAAGAAATAGAGTTCTCAGAATTTGAATTTGAACGAGATTTTTGACTAGCATAATACTTTCGATTAATTCTATGTCTAGCCGAATAATTGTGTCCAGCACATTTAGAACATTTTCTAATGTGAGGAGGACATTTAGCCTTACAACTTTCACCCTTACAAGTATAAAGCGAAATACGACAACCACTACATTGACTGCAAAAACAGTTTGCGTAGGATCCATAGTTAATAAAAGGCCTACAGAAAAGATAAAATTATCGAAATCGAATTTTCGTGATTAAAATTTTCGGATGACTTGAAGGGTTTGTCGATATTCATTATTAAAAATTTTAGGGATATTATTAGAAAAATGAGTTTATCACAATTACTTTCGACATTGGTGGACCTCGCGAAAATGATATACTATAATTTTTCGGAAACGCCGATTGTAATTTCCTATAAGCCGCATTTGTAAACAAATCCATCATATAATGATAATATATATATGTCGATATTAAATCTTAAGACAAAAATAAACAGAGCTTCTGTGAAAAAAACACAAAATTCAAACTCACATCAACAATTCTTCATTGTTCATATACAATACAATAATTAACCCACTATGGAAAGCGTGAAGAAGCTGTCGTAACTCAATTCTTTTAAAGCAATCAATCATTTTTTGAGCCAACTTTTTTTGAATTGACTTTAGACTCAAGGGACTAGCTAAATCAGCTACTCTAATAGTACCGAGAAAAATGCAACAGTAGATAAAAAAAACGTGGATTAACTGATTGGAGCATATTTATTCGGACCTATAAAATCCACCAAAAAAATCCAACCATTACACAATATTGAGGTCATGCAACTAAAATTCGTGTATAGTAACTTGGATAAAATACAACCGAAAAAAATTTTACTGATTAACGAAGCTAATGAAACTAACGAAAACTTAATCTTTATTACAACCAGAAAGTACTATATTATGATTAAGTAATGAGAATGTGACGTTGTCTTTTAAAATGATTATAATTCACCTCCAATTTACGCAATAGTTCAAAGTTTTCGTTGATACTGTCGAGACACTTGTTACCATTTGGATTCGTTATGCTTTCCTTAATAAATTTTTTTTTTGTTGCATCTAACAAGTTAAAAACTTCTTGCTTTGGGCTTGGTACAAGATCATATTATCAACTTGAGAGTTATGGGCAATTGCTTTACGGGTATCGGTATAATGATAATTTAAGCTTTCGATTGTGGCGTGAAACATTCATTTTCTTGATTTCTAATAAGAGATAAAATTCTTAAACAAATATAAATTTAAGCAAATATAAAATAATGTTTTTTCCTTTTAAAAATTCCTGGTTCTACAGGACCGCAGTGCTATTGCATTTTCTTGATTATTTCTTATATCATTTCGATTTCATTATTTTTTTGTGGAAGTTTTGACATGGAAATCAATGCATGTTTTTAGTTTATTATCAATGTTTTTATGTTTATTGAATTTCGTACTTCTAAAACAATCATCTGGTTTGTATGTTTGCAATAATTGCATTTTATTATTTTGAATTTTTGAATTTTTATTTTTTTTAGTAGTGATTCTATCTCGGTCAACAACTGCAAGCAACCCTAATATCGCATAGAAAAAATGGTAGACGGATTATTTGCCAGCTTAAACGCGGTTTTAGATACCAATTTCGGGATAAATGATATGAAAGTTTTTTATTCAATGAAAATAACTTTTCGTTTTTTAATTAGCGTAAGGTTCATTAAAATAAAGATTAAAATATTTTTATACACCAACTAAAGTAACATATTTTTAATATACGAATTGATTTTTTTATACAAAGCAACTAAATTTTTTTTTTTGTTTTTTTTTGTGCTAAAAAAGCATACGCGTTGTAACACACCTATCTGATTGACCAATCATGAAATCGAAATAGCGATGTTTTAAAAATCGCTTGTAGCTCATAATTTTGCTTATAAAACCTCTCTTCAAAAAAAAAATTATTGCAAATTTTATTTAGGTAAAGGTTTTTTTGTTAAGCTTCTATCCGAAACCTAACCTAACCCTGACCCCTAACCCTAAACTAACGAGCCTTTATTCATTGTTTTGATTTTACTGACTGTTCAAAATGATAAAATTCTAAAAAAAAAAAAAAAAAACTACAACATGGAATATTTTGAAAATACTGATCCTAAATTTTGGCGTTTTTTGACTATTATGTATACTGAATTAAGATGATTTAAAGTTTCATTTGAATTCAAGTCATCATTATTAAAGGAGAATCTTTTAAAACTTCTCAATGATCAAAGTATAGAAAAAAAGCAACTAAAATGGTAATTTTGCTAATTTTGCTTGAAGTAATTTTTTATTTACAATAGCGAAAGAATGAATATCTCTTTGTTGTTTTTGACATTTTTTGATTTTATTTTTTAAAAGAATCATCGTGATACATATTATTAAGTAAATACACTATGAGATATTATTGAAACAATGAAATTCATGCCCCTAGAAAAAAAAAGGATAAACGAAATTAAGAAGTTGAAATAAAATAATGAAGGTTTTGTATTTCTACTTGGAATAATTCAAAAATCACGTACATAACACTCTACAAAATGAAGTAACATCATACTTTAACGTAATATAATCATTGTAGATGAAAAAGAATTTCGATATCGAGAATTAATCGGTAAAGAAATCCATGAAAGTGGTGTGTTAAATAATTGTGTGAGCAAGTTTAGTAGTTACGGCTACTATATAACTACAAGATGGTGCAACAGAAGAGAGTTCTCAGGAATCGAAGAATATATTCAAGACATATCACATTCAATCTAATGGTGAAATTTTTGATTCTAAAGTTCGAAATGACAAGTGATGGAACAGCTAAAATTTTAGATACAACAACATTTTTTCAGGACAACGATTGTAAAGGAGATATAGGCGGATTGGATCTATATACTCACCTGGGGGTATTTTTATCTTCAAACCTCATGATGGCTGCCACAATAACCTCATTAAATATTATATTGAAAAGAATAATTTGTATGCTTTAAAAAATATATATAAAAAATTTTTCATTCTTATTATCTTATTTTTATTTGAAATAATCTTTCTTTTTATGTATTAAAAAATGTAAATAAATTTCATTTTTTTTTTCAAAAGTTCATTTCGAAATTTTCTTTTTTTCTTGTTTTTCTTTCGAAAGTTCATTTCGAAATTTTTTTTTTTTATGCATTAATGAATCTTTTTTTCTTTAAAATTTTTGCTTTTAAAAAATTTCGCTTAATTTTATGCATCTAATGTAGCGTGGAATCAACCAACAAATAAAGAATAAATTTATTTGCTTCATTTAAACAATTAGAAAATAATGCGATGTTCGTTCATTTTTTATTGTCATAGTTATGCTAATAAAACAATTGAAGAAACAAAATATGTATACATTATTGGGCAAAAATTGTTGAATAACGGCAATTTTTGCCCAATAATGTATACATATCTACCACATAACTACATTTTTTCGGAAGGATTCTCAAATTTCTGGTATTTCGGGTATATTATACGTGAAATGTCAAGTTACTATTTGATGACAAACAATTTGATTTCACGACTGAATAAAAAGTGAAAATTATACATATAATAAATGCTACTTAAATATTATTAGAGTAATTATATTCGCAGTCACAAGAACGAGTTTGCAGAGGTTGTTATGTACTAATAATCTGGTACGTACGTAATCAGCAGAGTAATTATGGACGTTTAAGTTTATTTTAATCAGTAATTGGTCATTTTATGCAGGAAAGATGTCTCAAGAAACTGGAGACGGAAGGTTCAATACTGTGATTTTGAAGGGCAAGGAAGTATTGTACATGATGTATTGTACATGAAAATTTACGTAATTTTGACTGAATTCTAAATGGGTAGATAATCAAAGCGCGTTTTACCATTACTAGCGGGTTTCACCAATAATGAGAATTCAAACCTTCTTGATATATTCAATAATTATGATTGGAGGTCTCAAATTATTTCTATTCTGGCAATTTGTTATACTTTTAGAATCGTGAAATGCATACCGATATATAATTTTATGTAATTTACAATAATTACTTGTAAATGCCAGAATTTATGCTTTAAATCCACGTTTATTTATATGGGACCAAACTGAATTACAATATACAATGAAGGTAATTAATCTTTGATCTTGATACTTTGTTATTTAATTATATAATAAAAAATTGTATCGTCCATACAGAGTCAATACCAATAATAAAATCAAAGCATCCTGACGGTAGTTCACTTTCGTACAATTATATCAATTTCGGCTAAGTATGAGACGCCTGATTTGATTCCAAAGTTAGAGAGATATTTCTAATAACTAGAAAAACGGCGTCATTTTGTGGGCTGGAGCTCTAATTCTTAGGGTTTACACTTTAAAATTAGTATCTGTATTTTATAATTACATTATCTATAAAATTATTTTTATATGTTTATAATAGTATTGCATTTATAATTTC